TCTCCCTAATACTACCTAGGATATACGGGGACCTTCGTCCGACCTTCGGAGAGTTGAGGCTTCGGGACTCTAAGGGTCCACTCTAAGGGTCCAAGTACCCATTTATTCAAGGACTTTGGGGCCTTTTTGGGTACCTAAAACCATAAATAAGGACTACTTGGACCCTTAGGGGAACGAAGGCTTTAGATTTGGACTCGACACATTTCTGTGCTTGAGCCAATTGCAGCTGTTATGCAGCGGGTTTGGGAGCTTTAGTGTGAGGGGTTTAGGGCGCAAGGTGGCATGAAGTCTGCGTGAACTTTAGGTACAAGGGCCGGGTGACTTCATGATACATGCATGACCTAGCATGCGGCCGACATACCACACCCCATGCGTCTCACTGACCGAGCAGCCAACAAACAAGACAACAACTGACTGTGTCTTTAAGTCCTTCCTGCTTCCTTTCGGTCGCGACGATGCGTGCCTTATGACATTTACGCCGCTATACGATGCAAGAAATTTTTCTGCTGTGCATGAGAGGCGAGGTGAAGTAAGCAACGGCAGCACCATGTGCAACCTGGTTTTCTCAGCATGGACAGGGCACCATGGAGCAGAAATTTCCAATTGCTTTGAACCAGCTTTGCTGGCGGATTCTCTGACGCAAGGGTGTACGGGGTGGGTTCACACTGCTTTTCACCAGCATCTTTGTTAGGTTCATGGCTGCATTGTCGAAGTACTCCTTGTTCCCCTTCACAAAGGAGAAGCCGTTCACATCGCAGACCATCGAATGGCCGTCGGTGGTGCGAAGGATATCGAAGCCGCATACACTTTGCTTGAAAGCTCTGACCACCATTCCTGACTGCTTGATTTTGGCAAATGAAGGAAGTAAAGACCTCACCTCCTGTATTACATCCCCGCAATAATGCCCTCAAGCCTCAATTTCCTCAACGCATCGAAACGCACTTCCCTCCATACAGGGACCTAAACCCTGAACCCGAGGGACCTAAACCCTGAACCCTAAACCCTTATAGATCCCTTTAAAGGAACCCTTATAGTACCCGTTAAACCTTTAAAGGACACCTAAACGCTATATGCCCAAAATCCTAAACCCTGAACCCTAAACCCTATGGAATTCTAAGTCATCCCGAGGTTCGGGACATGTTCTTCTCCTCTTCCGTGAGCTCGATGGTTTGGCGGACCTCCTTGCCGTTTGCGTCCCTCTCAACACCTTAGTGCTCTAAAACTGCCCTCACATGACCTACATACTCAAGCAATGCTCGTGTGAGGATAGGGAAGAGCTAAATGTTGACAGAATCTTCATTCAAGTCCTGTGTTTGGCTTTATGTATGCAGTCTTCCCCTCCGCAGCCAACCCAGAGAGCACTGACTAAGATCAACACGCCCATCCACTGCCGGCGCTTTGCGCACCTCGGCATGCGCATAGGTCTCACCAACCGCGTAGACCTTGATGTCCAGGCCACCTGTTTCCATGAAAGGCTCGTAGACATACATTCCATTCTCTCGGATGTGGCTCTGAGTGAGGTCGCGGATGCTTGATTGGTTCCCCTTCTTCCGATGCAGCTTGGTCGCACCACCCCCTTCGCCTGAGACATGATAGATCCAAACAGCATGGTCGTCCGCATCCTGGGGCTTCTCCACAAAGGGCTTCGGCAAGACTTGCCCTCGCCATGTGATGCTGTCAAGCTCTTGGACAAGTTCGCCGGGTTCCACTGACCCATGGTCGATGACGGTGTGAGGTGGGCACGGGATGCCGGCCTCCGTAAGACGTTCATACATCTGAACTCGGTCGGTGAGAATCTCTTGCTCCTCGAGAGCATTCCTGGCTTCTTCTTATGGAGCCCCGAGTCTTCACTATAGATCCCCACGATGGCTTAATATGGTTGATAATTAAGGAAGCCATATGGTTTATTATTGATCCCTATATTATGGCAACGTAAAAAGTAGGCTCCTGAACATGAGCCCAGATTCACGAGCCATGGGTTCCGGAGCCTTTGATACTGAATGGCCTTTGGAAGTGGAAAACCGGAAGAGGCAAATGCCAGGAGGCAAGCGACGATCGGCCAATTCTCAACCGGCTCGTGGAGAATCATGCTCTCCTTGAAGCGAATTATAGTGAACTTGCCAGTTGCTTGTAGCCTTTGAAGTAGCTCCGCCATGGAATCCGAGTTTAGCTTCTTTTTCATGCAGCAAATGCCCACTGTGATCTTCGCCATGGCAGGTGGCACGAATTCTGTTTCTACCAGTTATGCTGCGACTGGCGCTCGCACAGCTAGCGCCACTGGTGCCAATGTGGTAAGTCTGCTGCTGATCCTACTACTGATCATGCGACAATTGGGATGTTGGCCATCGGCGGGCACTATGACAAATACGGCCGTTGTTAGAAGTATCGAGACATGGTCGCGATCTGTACAAGAGACTGCGACGCCTTGCGGAAAACGAGTTCAGGTTGCGGAAACAATTGCTAGTGCTTCGAGCCAGCAGCGGTTGGCAGGGAGATGCTCGAGCACTTCCATCCGCAAATGGGCCTTTCTTTCTAAAAGCCAATGCAGCCAGAGAGTCTGCAAGACCACCGCAGATACAGAACCCCAAACCCTAAACCCTAAATTCCCTAAATGGTTGCTGTCTCCTACGCCACGCCTTTTTGGGTGATTTCTCTGCCCCCGACAGAGAATCCCCGAGCCACCCGCTTCACTACCACAGAAGGCCAACTCCGTGAATATAAGGGCCTGAATGTAAATCGAGTTGGAACAGGGTTTTGGGGTATGGCATACTGCAACTAGAAGAAGGAACCCCAAAAGAGTATTGACGAGTATTTCCAGTATTTCTGCCCCGAGTTTACCTCGTGTCTCTGACTTGGGCCCAAGTTGAAAGTTTAGGGTTTAGGGTTTAGGGTTTGTAACCACTCAATCGCATCGGTTGCCAGGACTCCTGAGCAATTACAGTTTTACTTTAGAAGGTAGTCGGGGCATTTTCTTGCAAACGACATCGTGCCATTCTCCGACCCTCTACTACGACGACTTCTTTGTCTACTTTTTGATGTTGCTGCTGCTACAACTACTTACTGCTTCAACCTCCGCTGCTGCTGCTGCTGCTGC